GACTGACTCACATAGACTGACTCACATAGCATCACTCCACACACATACAATCGTGAGATGGTGGGGTCTGGGCCATTCATAAACGATGCCCAGATCCCGTACACGCATTCACAGATGAAAGTTGGGAGGAGAGACGAAGGAGGTGGGGTGGTAGACAACACCGATAGATAGAGTCTGATAGGTCTCGGATATGGTAGTCCAAAATGTCATACAACAAGATCAAAATGTCGAGGCCCATAGGTCACCAATGTCGGAGATACAGAGTCCAGATGTAACCGGTGTCCAACTGTGATGCAGCCAAGTATCAACCTCAACAATCTCCAAGTCTCCAATCAGGTAAGTACCACAGTCTCATATCACCGAAGTCCAACTCTGATCTCTGTCCAACTAGTATAAGTCTCTAGTATGAAGAAGAAGAAGAAGAAGGAGGAGGAGGAGGAGGAGGAGGGAGAGAGAGAGAGAGAGAGGGTTGACGAGGTAGGGAGGAGAGGTCCTCCGCTCCCAAGTACCTCAGGTGGCAATGGCCGCCGTGCTGGCTCAGTCGCCCTGCTGCTGCTCTGCTTGCCGCTGCGCTGCCGCTGCTGCTCCTTGCTCGCTCCTGCGCTAAACGTAGCGCATCAAACAGCGCTCTGGCGCTGACCATAACGCACCGGTAGAGTGTCGGTGGTTCGATGGTCCAAGTGAGGCTGTACCAGTACTTATACCGGTGGGGCAGAGGCCGGCCTCAATGCTGCGAGGCCTGGCCATGCCCTGAACCGTCCAAATGGACGGTTCAGCCCCACCCGGTGGGCGGCAGCCTCAAGAGCGCCGCCAAGCCCAAACGATAATGCCGTTTGGGCCTGCCCGTCGGGTACTGGTCCAAGATCAGACCTTTAGGGCCTGTAATACCCCAAGGTCGAGCCTTTAGGCCCTGATGTGTCCTTCCGCCCCTAAGTCGGGTCCGGTAGGACCCGTGTGCGTCGAAGATGTAACACACCGCTTGCACACCACCCCAGGGCTTTAGTTCAGGGTTGTTGTATGCTGGCTCTAGACTTGCGTGATGTTCTTGGTCTATGTGGTTGTCTGGATGCTCGCGCACTTGCCCCTTTGCAATGAACCCAGATCGTGAAAACACTTGTCAACAATGCAACCTCAGATAGATATCAACCTGCTGATGATTGTCAATAATCATAATCGTGTCCAGATAGAATGAGATGGGGAAACATACACAGACGAAAGAGAGAGGAGGGAGAATAGACTTAGATTGGAGAGGAAACAATGCCCACTTCTGCTTCGGGCTCCCTCCTTGATCGCCACCTCAATAATCAATAGTCCGAACACAAATCTGAAATTCTATCTCAATGTGCCACGTGGCACGTCAACCTGTCCTCATCAGCGAGCTGGAGCAATGTCGACATCGAGAGACCAGGTACGTATCTACAATCGCCCCACAGTCATGATCTCCTCCCAAGTGACGATGAATCAGAACAGCAATACCAGTCACGTAGCCTCGCCACGTCAACAACAGTATACGTGGCAGCGGCCACGTCAGCGGCGGCGTGTGGCAGCTGCCACGTCAGCATGCCCAGAAGACAATTGCCAGCCAGCCACCATGCCGAGCCAGCAGCACGTCGCCGTGGTCGCCCAAGTGCCAGCATAGAGCCAGTGTCCAGCCAGTGTCGCAGCGTGGCACTAGCATCGAAGTCAACGCGTGAAGTCAGCATTGACGCAAGACGAAATGTTCTCCCAGCCAGGTAGTCCAGGCTTATGTAGCGCTGATGCAGGGTCTGAACCCCGGTTGCTGCTTCCCTAGGCCGTCGAGATCTCAAGACAAATGGCGGCCCAGATTTGCTTGAAACCGAACTCCCTGTGGTCTTGATGCTGTCCGGGTACCTGTGCACAACAAGTGAATGTATCTGACCAAGGGCCTGGGCGTGGTACCTTTGACAATTAACTTAGACTTTTGACTTTCCTAGGCAGTGCGTGGTCACACTGCCTGGCGGCAGGCCGAGTTTGGCCTGCGTCATCTGGGCTCCGTTTCGAGGGCCCAGACTGCTGCAGAACACGGGTTACTGCATTCCTGCCGACCCATTTTCGAGTTCCATCGCAGAAATAACACAGACTTTAGCCCACGTTCATATGCAGATACAATATCAGGAGCAGTTTCAAGTAATTCTCGTTTACTGAACCATCTGTCCTCAGATGGTGCCTGATATTTGAAACATACCTTGAACTGCTTTTGGGGTCATCCACGTCCACCTGTAGTACCCATGCTCTATGATTCTGTCTACCTCATATCCGCCGTCCATGTATGGCGGAATCATAGAAGGTCTGTGTGGGAACTCATTTCCTTCTACATAGGGTAATAATTTGGACACGTGAAAGATAGGATACGTTTTGAGGTGAGGGGGAATATCAATTCGATAAGACGGTCCTTCTCCATCCCCAATTACTTTGAGAACTTCCAAAGATCCAAAATAGACGGGAAGAAGTTTTTGAGACACATTTTCTTCCAACGAAAACTCTTTGGACTTGACCCAAACTAGATCACCTTCCTTGAATGTTGAGGGTCGGCGATGCTTGTTAGCTTGTTTAATCATTTGGTCATGAGCTCTCTTCAGATTGTCCTTTACTTTCTTAATGTCTTCTTGAAACAATACTGCATACTTTCGGGTCCCTGGAGGTAACCTAAGAAACTGGTCCCGTGTTAGCACATCAATGGGACACTTAGGTCTCCACCCCTTGTGCAGTGCATTAGGCGTGCGCCCTGTAGCGGTATGAACACTACTGTTGTATGCACTTGCTATCGTGGGTAAGTTCTCGTCCCAATCAATCTGATCGGGTCTTACAAACATAGCAAAAGTTGCTGACAGAAACGGTTCATCTATTCACTTTGTCCATTCGTTTCAGGGTGTCACCCTAACGACATGGTCAATCGTGTACCGTATGCTTCCATGAGCTTTTGCCATGGCATGCTTGTGAACCTGGTATCGCGATCAGATACAATAGAGAGAGAAAAACCATACTCAGTCACCCATTATATTTGAAACTTTTGTATGACAAGTTTTGTTCGTGCTTTTGCGGGTAAGGGAATAAACATGGCATATTTAGAGAAACGATCCACAATAACCATTACTTGATTATTACCATTTCGGCTTTTGGTGAGGTCCATAAAATCAATTGAGATAGACTCACCTGGTTCGCTGGGAATCGGTAATGGTTTCAGAAGACCAAATGAATTCTCGTGTGAAGGTTTGTTTCTCTGACACACCTGACATGTACGAACATAAGTTAGTACGTCTTCCTTCAATCCCTTCCATTCAAAGCGTTTTCTAACCTCAACGCGCCAGGACAACAAAACTTCATTTGTTTTACTCTCTTCTTCAGATCAGTTAGAACTACCTTTACCAATCAATTTTTTTGCATTTATGTCTTCTAAACGTTTTTTTTATAAACAATTAGGATTAGTTGGTAATATATATACTAAAAATACTAAGTTAAGAAATAGAAATCAAAATGAATTTTCCAATTTATTATTTATTAGTTGGTACGTCTTCCTTCAATCCCTTCCATTCAAAGCGTTTTCTAACCTCAACGTAAGTTTTCTTGAAACCAAAATGTCCTTCAATGTTGCGACATTCCCCAATCAACAAACTTTTAATTTCTTCCTGACGAGGAATACACAATCTTTGTTCAGTCTGGTCTAGCAAGAAAAGCAAACCGTCGGTCACTCTATAGTTAGGAAGTAGAGATGGATCTTTCGCAAGGACATCCGTGATAGGTTTCCAAATAAGATCAATAGTATATCCTTTACGAATTTTATCTTTCAGATCACTCCCAAAGTCCAAGTAAGAGACAATAGTACCAAAGAAATCACAACGTCTAGA